ATTTCCTAAAGTCAAAGAATATTTTGTTTGGCAAAGTATAGTAAAAACTTGATGTGTATTATGTAAGTGGGAGAAAACCAATTTATTACCACCAAGAAACACATGAAAGAAAATATAAGTGTATACCTGGAGGGGGTTTTGGGGGTCAACGCCCCCGCAGCCTGGTCTGTGACCAGGCCGTAAGATTTACCTGTTATTTCATGTGAGAATGAAGCAAAAGAAAATAACAGCAATAATAGTACAGTCCTATATAACATGTTCATGTGATGAGTGATATTCTGCCAAGCTGCTTCGTGTTTCATAATTCTCCTCTTTAATAATTCAGTGAATTACAAGCAAGAAAAAGCATTTTTTTTTTTTTAACATATCGGCTCTCTCCCACCGAGGCACGGTGTCCTGCCAGAGGTGTGCTGAGACAAAGTTACTTACTGTATAACAAATAGTTATCTGTGCATCATTGGTCCCCCCTGTTGCTTCAGGACATGAAGAGACCATGTGACCTGGCTTACGGCACTTCAAGCATACTAGTTTCCTTTCATTTTTTAATAACCGTTCCTCTTTGCGGCGCTCCTTTTGCATGATAGTGTATAGCTCTTCTGCTGAAACCCCTTCTGCTGTGAGCCGCTCTGCAATACAGAGATATAAAAATGATGAACTTGGGATAAGCAAGTTCCTGCACTACATCCTCCCAAAACCTACTCACCCTTAAGTTGAATTTTAGCAACACTAGACAAGTAAATATAAACTCATGCAGTGTACATAAGGCCCATACTGTAACAGAAATTTACAAATGTATTTAACAAAGCCATACTGCAACTTCTTATCTTTATGAATTCTGTTTGTCATAATGAGCGACTGTTGATGAATAAACAGAAAAGTGGACGGGAGGCTCGAACTGTGGTCCTGAGATTAACAGAAGCCCAGTAGCTCAGTGGTAAAGCTCTTGACCTGTTTATTGAGACCATGGTTTGAGCCTTCCATCCACCTTTATGCTTATTGTTCAATTATATTTCACCTCTATATCACGACGACTGGGGAAAAAATATATGATACTTACCCTTTAGCTTATTAAGCCTATCTGCAGATTCCTTTTTGACCCAGAAACCGTCAAATTTGACTACACTCTCAGCAGATTTGCTCTGATTTTCAACAGAATTTAAGCTGCCTTTTTGTTCATGTGCACTATGCTTATTGATCATTCTTTGTCCTGTCCCTCTACTCAAAAAAATCATTAATTTCCTATTATAAAACCGCTTCTCCTTCTTCATGGCTCGCTGGAAGATGATTTGTTCTTCCCCTGTCAACTCTCTTGCATCACAGTTTTCTACTCTTGCATTATATATATTTCTTAACTTCTCTTCACTTGCAGCATTAAGCATCTCGACAGCTTCTCGCAATACCCAGTACCCTTCATACTGAGTCATTATGTCATTCTCTTCAAAGACAAATGAACCAGTTTGCCATTCACCGTGAAGTGTTTTTCTATTGGCTATAGATTTTCCTAAAGTTTTACTGTTAGCACCTTTTGTCCATGTTACAGGTATAACTTTTTGGTGTGCTTTAGAAAGGGAGTGGTTGACATGGATGCCTCTGTCTTGTACATTTCTTTCTTGTGTGTTATATGTTTTATGTAGCTCTTCACTCTGATGGTTTTCTGGCCTCTCATTCAGTGTCTCATTATCAAGTGATTTATTGGCAATACCAATGACATTTTGGTTTTCACAGGTGCTGTCAGCTTCAAGGACTACTTCTTTAGGTTTATTTCTGACATCCTTCGTCTTAGTTTTCTTGCCTTTCTTTTTCAGTTTTATAGGCGTTTCATCTTGAGTTGTGTCTTTTGCTTTCAGTGGCTTCTGTTCACTTACTAGTTCTTTCTGTTCATATATTAACTCTATCCTCAGCTGCCGGTGTGCTTTCCTTTTGGCTTTCATCATTTTCCTCATAATCTGTAATGATTACTTGGATATAAAAACTGTTTAGCCTGGTGTAACATATTTAGAAATCAATCTACTGAAACAGAAAAGGCCGTAAGAGATTTCTTTTATTAAGTGTCAGAGAGTAATTCATGGAATAATAATAATAATAATAATAACAACTGAAAACAACTCCAGAATGGAGCAGGACTCAACCCATGGTAAGGCACTTCTAAAATAGCCAAACTAACACTCACTGTTAAGTCATGGAGGTGTGGCCACAGTGTGGTCTATGCTAACTTTTTTAGTGTATAAAAATACACCTAGCTGGATGAATCTTCTTAGGTCCACATGGCATAATACTGTGAGCATTGATTTGGTAATATCAAGACTACCTCATCAGGGGTTGAATCCTTCTCTGTTACTGAGCTATAAGAAAGGTTTGTTTTTATTTATGGAATTAAAAGAATTCATGCATCAAAAAGCATCTGTTAGTGGTTCCTGAGATTACTGTATTTTCTGGTATATAAGGCACACCTTTTTCCCACAAGTCTTGGAAAATCAGCTTGCACCTTTTATGTTCGAGGGCAAGCTTTGGGTTACACTTTATCATAAATTAAGAAGGTAATTTGCCTTTGAATATGACTGCTGATCTACTGTTATAGTACTTTATTGTGCACCTTATTTGCCAAAAAAGACAGTATATTTCCCATGATCTGGCCTCAGACCAGGCCTCCTAAACTGAAAAGGAAATATTACAAGCTTAAGAACTATTAAGAAACACACGGGAGAGTGAAGACATGTGTACAGAGAATTTAAGTTGAAGTTTGTAAGATTTACCATCACCTTCCTCTTCAAAGGGGGCTCCTTGGCGTGGTGAAGAGGCTCTTGGTCTGAGGAATTAGACCTGTCAGTCTCCTTCCTCAGACCAAACCTAATTACCCCCCAATCCCCCCTTCCCTATCCCATCCTCCCCTTTTCCCTTTCCTCCTCCCCCTCCCCACCCCTCACTTTTGCCTTCCTCTTTTTGGCTATTGTATTTTTCCCACAGGCGCACTAGTTTCCCAGGTAGGGGAAAGGGGGTACCGGGGTCCCCATCCCATTCCGTTGAGGTTCTTGGCGGTGGCGTAGTTTGCGTGGAATCTGGATTGCGCTGGGGATGTCCCCGATCCCTCTCTCCGGTATCCTGGAGAGTGGCTTTGGGTGTCTTTCGGGCGATGGGTGGTATCTTCACAGGAAGCCACCTTTTCGGATTCCGGGGTGGGTGGCCGACGGAGGTATTGCTTTGTGGCGGATATCCGGACACCCTCTCTTTTGTTCCACCAAGTAGCTCGGCGAGTGGGTTGCTATCCGGATTGCTGTGTTTACCTGGCATGATGGGTTAGGGTAAGGCACGGGTTCCATGCTGCATCTGCGCTACTTGCGGGTCTGAGGTCCTCTATGGGCGCGAAAAAAAGGGAGATTTCTGGCCCTTTCATTTCCTCCAGGAGCTATCCCTCCCTGGTTCCCCCTTTTTTTTTATTCTTTTTTTTTATTTTTCTTTTCCTTCTTTCTTTTTTTTCCCTTAAAACAAAAAGAAAGGACGTAACCATCCATGGCAGCCCTATCCATGAACCGCACCCTCGGCCCTCTTCTTGATACCGCACCCGTTCTGACCCCGCCTTCGTCTTGTGGACCACTCTTCGACACTCCTCAGCCTCTGTACCTCTGCAGTGGCTGTTTTCCTCACCCGCTTCAGGTACTGAGGTCTCGACTGACATCCGTTATTTATCTGACCACTGCTCTCCTTTGAACTATGCTTCTTTCTGGCCTCTCCCGTCTACGGTGCGGTGCGCAATTTTTGAATGCTGGCCCGTTCGCCCCATCGGGACCAACTCTGGTCCCACGCCTAAATGCCAACGACAATTACCTGCTGATGATACTTCTCCGCCTTCTCGTTCTTCTCAGAAAGATCGACACGTCCTTGCACTCCTCCTCTCCACGCTCAGTTTCGGACTGCACAATGGACTAAATTCTTCACTTTTAACGACCGGCTGTTCCTGTACCGCCTATCTTTCCGACCACAGTATTGGCAAGGCACTCATACAAACCATGTGTGGTAAAGATATTTCTTTTCATGTCTCTTAAGAGCGGTACGCGCATCATCACTGTACAGAATGCTACCCAAGCTCATGATCTTTCTCTTCTTTCCCATATAGATACTGTTTCCCCTCACTATTGAAAAACATCCATTCCCTCAAATCTTGTAGTGGTACCGTCATTCTGTCTGCCCCATACCATAGTTCAACAAAATTTCCAGACATGTGGCAATGCATTCTTGAACAGCCTGGAACTCCAAGATCTCCCAATCCTCAAGGTAGACACTTATTTCTTCCTGCCCCCGCGGGGTGAAGACGATACCTAGCAATGTGGCTCTTTAACTTTTTACAGCCGTGAACTCCCATCCTCAGTTATGGTAGCAGGACATTCGTTACAATTCGTAAAGTGAATCCCTAACACCACGAAACATGTAGAAAATTGGCTGGCGATTTGGCCATCCAGTGAAATAACTGCGATCATAAGCCCGAATGCCCAGTCCTGTGAGGCCTATGACCATTCTAATACGTCTTGCAATCGACCTCCCTCTTGCCTTAATTGTCATGATGCTCACCCTTCCGTACACTCGCCTTGCCCAATCTACCTAAATGAGCGGGAAATCTGTTACCTCAAAGTGGAAGAAAGGTCTCCCTTATGCCATGGCAGTTTCCATCTCCCGCCTCACCAAGGAAGACTACCCCGTGTTTCTTATTCCCCGTGTTTCAAAATGTCCACCCACTTCTGGTGGTCCCCATCTATTGCAGCCTCCTCTGTGGTTACCTCCCTCCCATAGTCACTCCTGTTTCTAATTCTTTTGCTGTCCCTAGCTCAGACGTCGCTACTTTCAAACTGCCTCAGTCTGTTCCTCGCTTCTTTGTGTTCTCCCTCACAAGCCTCAGTCTCGACGAGACCGTTCGTATGACACACCTCCCCAATCGTCCCCTAAACTTCCCAGAAGTCAAAAAAAGTGTCCTTTAACAAACCCCTCCTTCCCTTCTTCCAACCTCTTCATTTAAACCTTTCCTGTCTCTGTACCAGGTTCTCCCTCTCACTGGCTCTGTTACAAGTGTAGAGGTTTCACACCTTCTCTCCTCTACTATACCACCTCCCCTGTTCCCTCCCAAGTTCTCTTCCTCTTCTGTCCACCTCCCAGGTTTCTTGCCGTCTATCTGTCCCCTTCCACGCTTTCTTCTCCAGTTTCCCTCCCACCCTCCTCGGCGCCCCCCCCCCCCTTGGTACAGTCCCTTTAACAGTTCAAACTTTTCCTCATCCTCCCCCTACCATCTCCAATATTGTCTCCCAAACGACGTTCCTCTGAATTCCCGAAACACTTGAAGCAATCTCTGATATATTGCAAACCAAACCATACAATGAGGACACTGATCCACCCTCTGTTCCCTTCTCTCGTGTAACTCTCCTCCATCTGTGCAACTCCTATCATCACAGCGCACTGTTCCTTCGTCTGCTTGAACTTTTCGCCTTCCCCCTCCTCCACATGTGACTTTCTAACCCCTGCTAATCCGTAGGAACCCTTACCTGCGGATTTTCAAGGTATCTATATCATTGCCAATCATGGCCTATTTACAGTGGAATATACGCAGCCTCAGGGGTATTCAGGGTGAGCTTCAGATGTTACCTCCCAGTTTTCCCCTGTGGTGTTTTGGGCTTACAGGAACCAAAATTACACTCTGCCATTATCTCTCCCAATCTCAGGCTATAATTTAATTGTATTCTTCAGATCCTTTTCCTAAAATGGGACCTTTAATGAAAGTTGCCCTTCTTCTATGCACTGATATCTGTACCATCAGCTATTTGTTCGAACTTCGCTGCATTACACAGCAGCCCGTATCCACTTGCCAAGGTGGTATACGCCTGTTCTTTATATCTCTCTCCATCTCAGGCACTATCTATTCCGGATATTGCCCCCTTCTTTTCGTCATTACCCACCACCGATTCTGGTTTCTTTGGCGTTTTTAATCCCACCCTTTCCTTTTTGGGGGGTCTCACTGTATTCCCCTGGCATTCATTAGAGGCTTTTCTTGCCACCCATCCCCTCCAGTTTTAAATACAGGTACCACACCCATTTTGATCCTCGGACTCACACCCTCCTTGCATCATCCTCAGTCTGCTCCTTCCTCCGCCGCATTACACTTCACCTGGTCTGTTCTCCCGGATTTACATGACAGCGATCATTTCCCAATCATTCTTACTTCCCCTTCATATTCACCACCTCTTCGTATCCCACGCTGGAAATTTGATCAGGCAAATTGGAACTTTTACTCACACCTAACTGTTTTTAGTGAGGTTCCTTCTTCGTCCTCCATTGATGAGCTTTTACACCTCTTCTCGTCCTTCGTTTTAACCACAGCTTCTCATTCTATACCCCAAACTTCGGGCAGTCATTCTCAGAAATGCGTGCCTTGGTGGTCTCCTGCTTGTGCTCGTGCAGTATGTTTGAAACGCGCTGCATGGGGCAGGTACCGGTACAATAGAACCACAGAGAGACTTCTTGATTTTAAGCAGAAGCGTGCGATCGCTCGCCGTGTCATCCGTGACGCTAAACACACTTGCTGGCGAGATTATGTCTCCACCATCAACTCTGCTTCCTCTATGAGTGCAGTCTGGAAAAAAGTACGAAATCTGAGTGGTAAATATTCTCCTGACCCGGCTCCTGTTCTGCGGGTTGCCGGTGTTGATATAGCAAACCCACTAGATGTTGCCAATGAAATTGGCAATCATCTGGTCCGTATTTCTCAGGGGCTCCATCTATGCCCCTCGTTTCTTTCCTCGAAGTCTGCCAGAGAGTTAGCACCCTTGGACTTTTCTTCCTCAAGAAGAACAGTATAAGTCCCTTTTTCACTTCAGAACTAGAGGCAACACTCTCAGCTTGCCGATCATCGGCAGCTGGGCCCGACGACATTCATATTCGTATGCTACAACATTTACATCAGTCAGCC